TATTCTATTTTACTCGAATGTTGTTTATGCATGTTTTATAGTGTTTTGTAACTTTCTATACATATGGGTCAAGATTTTTTTTCTCAATTTTTTTGTCCATTTCAATTTCAAGCTGCGATATACATGTAATATGCTATTTTTTCATAGCCAGATCAGATGTTGAACTAAAAAATTTAGTGATTTATGGTTCAATGGTTAACTGTTATAGAACCGTATATTAATCGTTGATAGAACTATTCGTGCGTTATAACATAAAAGATATAATATACTAATTTAGGACTACATTTTATCATTCTAACCATGAACAATCAAATCAATATCAACCATCATAAAAAAATTCTAACAAATCATTCAAACTATCTAATAAAAAAATTATAATTTTTTTATTAAATTCAAGTTAAGTCGACAAGGAGGCCTTGGAAAAGAAGAAAATCCAGCACAAAAAAATATTAATTCAGGTTGGCTGATGATCTTAGACCCCATTTAATATGGTTATTTGTTTATGTGTTATGTTGTGTTTTTAGTAGTTATGGAAACCAAGAAAAAATACATGTTTAGTTTGGTTTTAATTTTGTTATGAAACAGATTTACACAACAAAGCCCAAATTAGAGAAATTCAAATTTATAGCTTCCTCCTCCATCGTCGCCACTCCTTGTCCACCTCCTAAATTCCTTCTGACGGCCCCTGATGGTGAAAGCTTTAAAATTGTATGATGCACTCTCACTTCTATCTCAACAATGACACATATAACAAATGATCGCGATGTAGTAAAGTGGCTCAGCTGTATTCCACGGGTCACAGTATCCTAAACTATTTAGCCTCGGTTGTTATCTAATCGACATGTTACTTAGCAGGCGGATAGTTGGAGATTAATAAACGAGAGGGAAATAGGACAAAAGAGGTACCTAGGGTGCCTCCCTTGCCCTAAACCCTGGTGATAACATGCAAAATTATAAAATGACAATCCATGGTAATAGAGGTGCGAAGGTCGCTAATATGGGGATTGTCTCAATGGTCATGCAACCAAAGGACCTCCTACACCGATCCACTAGCCCAATGTCATTTCGGCTACCTTCACGATGCAGGGATATAACTTATCTCCTCTAAATGGGTTCTACCCATCCGCACACTAGGTCTTTAAGTCGATGGCCACTCACTCGATGCCCTAGCATTGCCATGGTGGACGCCTGGTAGGCAGGCGCACGATCACCTCATCCATCATACTATACTCCTTGATCAACCATCCAAACCAATCATACCAAGACCTCTCAATCCACACATAACCTAGATCAAACCCTAACTAGGCAATCTTAGATAACATACGGAGAGACAAGTCCAAAGCTTAATAATCATAGATGTAGCATAAAAAGTCTTGGCAAACATAATTCATCCATAAATCACAAGAAAGAGAATGATAAATCCCCTACCACCTAAGTTGCAACTAGGGCATATGGGATATAAACAACCCCATAATAATTGATGTGTAAAAAGAACCAGCATAAATAGAGATAGATAAATAGGTTCATAATCATCCGCAATCAAGCCAAAATATCCAATTACATAACAAACCCAAAGGTTAGGGTTAGGGGACTAAACCCCAAAGTACCATGAGGAACAATAACATGAAGGGGGAAGAAGGGACATGAATAGAGGGGAAGAAATTAGAAAGAAGGTCTTCTAGGGCTGAAAAATCCTCCTCCAAAGCTCTCATTCACTTCTTATTCTCCTCTTCTTCTCCAACATTCTACTTCTCTCTCTAACCCCAATCCAAAATAAATATTATAGCAAAAGTCACTCTATACAAGGGGAGGAGACCGCTATTCAAAGAGTTTTGCAAATGCAGGCAAGATCCCGGTCAAGGGACTCAGGATCGCGACCATAAACTTCCTCTAGAGGCCACAATCTTTGAACGCCATCGCACTAGACAGATCCTTAAATGCCACTCTGGACCAAGAGAAAATCTCTTTGACGACTTAACTCAAACACTATGCCTCGGTTGCCTCTTACGTGAGAACACTCATTTCAAGATATTTTTCAAATTGGAGCACCTTTTTGCAAAACTTTTTGGAGTCAAAATTTGGGGAGAGAGTCATGCACACATGTCCTAATCTCGATAGTAAACAGTATCAAAACAAACAAGAGAAAATGGAAGTGAATCCCTTCATTACTTATAAACTCTATAGCAGCACACTATTCTCTATAACACACACCATCACAATTATCTAACAATTAAGAGCATAATGATTAGGTAGGTGGGTAGGAAAAGGTGTTTGAAACCCTTAAATTTGAATTTTTTTTTTTTACTAATGACTAGATTTCAAGCAAGAACTATAAGTCATTCAATCCACACAAAACCCATTCAATCGAAAACATACACTCCCACACATAACCATAAATGTCTTACATGCATCATCATAAAGAGGTAGCTAACGACTACGACATTCATCATGAAATTGTAAGACATGCATGCACATCCCTCAACACTTGAGGAACACATTGTCCTGATGGAAGCTATAGGTAGGGTTCATAAGTGTTACCATAAGGGTTTGTGGATTGAAGAAAGTGAACAAGTGTACGTCTTCATTGATCTATAGATTTGACATTCAAGCACACTCAGAAGAGAGGAAGAAGGGGTTATCCATACACAAAATCTATAAACTAATCTACCACAAACATATCTATTATTACACACACTAAGTATTGTTTAAAGTTGAATAAAATAGAAGGTAAAGAAAGAAAAGATAGAAATCGGCTCTGGAATACCAAGTTGCCTTTGATGTACGGTGGGAGCATATGGTAGTTTCACTTTGGGGGCTCTTGCTTGCGAAGATCGTCCATCATAGTCCGTAGTCACCTCCGTTGGTTGCGTTGTTTTTCTTTTGTGGTTGCTCTTCAATTTTAGGTCATGGTTCTTCTCTTGGGACTTGTAGTTCTTCTCATCAAGGGTGGTTCCAGTTCTTTGTGTGTAATTCTCAGGGTTATGATCCTCTACAAACCCCTTTAGCCTCAGTCAGATTCGAAGCCTACAATTAAAAAAATCCAAAAATCAAAACGAGGTAAGAACCTTGGCCACTCCAAAAATCCAGAAATCGGAACATGCAACTCATGAAACTCGCCTAGGATTCACTCACCATCACCGACGGATTTGTAATTCTGCCTCCGACGTGCTATCTCTTCGGTCATCGCCGTCTTTGCTGGCAGCGGTGATTTTCTTTCTGCTTATCCAGATCCAAACCCCCCCCCCCACCCACCCACCCACCCACAAAAATCACAAATCAAAAGCGATTAGAACCCTAAAACTCCTCAAAATCAACAAATAAAGCGAAAGAAAATAACATGCAGGCAAAAACTTCATCTAGATCGACATGTCCCTAGTTGATTGAAGTCGATTCAGGTCGTCTTTTCTAGCCGTCGTCATAGTTACGACCATAGGTGGTTTGTGTCGAGAGAGGGAGAGGGCAACTGTTCTTCATACGAAATTTTGAATGCGGATAAGGTTGATCCCATTTCTTTTTCTAATACATCAAAATTTTTCCTAATAAATGAAATCTTTATGTTATCTTTTCACAACTTAAAAATAATTAATTTAAATTTTATTAACAAAATCTTTAATACAAGAATCACGATTTGTGGAATGTGGTAAAAGTTATATTTAAATTTATCAAAGTTTTGACGAACTACGTGGACTTCGATCGCGTGTTATGGGTACGTAGACAACCGATAAGGTTCGAGTCCAACTAATCAACCAACTTTATCTTTAAATTGTACGTCAGTGGGCATATAATTAAATCGTAAATTAATAAGATAAAATTATTTAATGGTCTAGTGGGACCCTAAAAATATAAATTTGTTACTAAAAATACACCCGACTCGTGTATAAACTTATCTGCTTAAGTAGTACCGATTTAGGGCGTTGTGGGGGTGTTGCTTAACTTCCCCACACGTAATTGTACTCCCGAACCTAGATTTCTATATCACAGACCAAGCCTCGGTTCTGACTCTAAGGTTAGAGCCTATCGAAGAGTGTTCGATTCCCTCCAAGTAAGATCGATAGCGACTCCAAAAAGCGAACGCGACCCGAACCCTGAAGGGACAGTTGCGACATTACCAACATATGAAAATATGTAACCATAGAAAACCGAGTTCCCATCTTAATAATGGAAATTTCCAATCATAGTTGTCATGCCGATGGGATGCCGGTCGATTGAACTTGGTTCAACCAGTGTCGGTTATAAAATCGGCGTATACATCACTGATATGATCAATTTACGAACTCTAAGGGGTTGTTTGGAGGTTGGGATTCTCCAAATTGAAGTATTTAATCAATTTGTATATTGTAATTTGATGTATTGGTGAAATGCATGAATTTGAAAAATACATTGTTTGGAGGTTTAGATTACGCTTTGTTATAAATTAAAAAGTAGATGATAAACAATCATTTGGTCACAATCTCACCTTTTGGTAGAGATTGACAATCACTCATTTTGAGTGATTGTAGTTGGGCCTAGAAAAAGGTAATATATGTATTCAGTCATAAATTTAACAAAAAAAATGACTTAATCTTGACATTACATGGATTGGATAAATACATCGCTTGAAATCCCAACCTCCAAACGACCCCTGAGTAAAATGATGCCATTTAGTAAACTTAATTGATAAAATATAAGTTCATAAAATATTTTATGAATATAAAAGTTAACAGTATATGTACTTTATTAGATTAAGTACAAACGTTTAGATATTTACGTTAAATGTTGTATTTAAATATGAATATTTGTTATTTTTTTTTGAAATGTCGTATTTTATTAAACTGGCATGAACTGGCACATATCGATTTGTACCACTTGTCGTACTATTCCACCTAAACCTAAACCGATATAACGGTATGAATTGGTTTGACAACTTTGGTTTCAATACATAAAACCTAAAAGAAATGTGAAACGGTTAATAATAAAAGATAATGGGAGGGTGAACTGTATTTGTAAAAAAAGCAGTAGATGAGGGTGAACACAAGGCAAAGACAAGTGTCATAGGTGAACACATGTAATCAATCATGTAATGAGATGTCTCATAGCCATGCATGGCTGCAAAAGATAGATCAAAACAGACATTGTCCTCAAATGTCACTACATGTGCTCAAATAGAAAACAGATCAGCAAAAGCTTAGTAGCTCCATTCTGGCTGTCCTTCGCTTCACATAAATCGACAACCTTGCTTCGCGCTCTTCCTCCGAATCTCCTTGATTTCATCAACAACTGTGTCAACCTTGAGCTGCAGTAGACGCACAGCTTCTTTCGTTTCTGCTATTAATTTTTGTATTTCAGAGTGCAGCTTCTTCCGTGCTTCAACTTCACTCATTATTTCCTTCTTAAACATCACCATAGTATCTTGTAGCTTCTTGTCCACCTGCATGACACGATTCACAAAAATATTTGGGAGTTTTGATCGAGTAAGTGAGCATAAGAAGCAGCAGTAGTAAACTAGTACCATTGCGGCCATGCTTTCATTGTTTGGTTCCTTAAAGCAAGAGGTATCCCCCTGATATGCTTGATCAATCAGAGCATTCACCTTTTCCTGCAACCAGCAAGAATTATAAAATGATTAGCTTTGTATTGAAAGACGGCAACAACCAAACATAGATTAGATTAGCTTTGTATAGAAAGAAAACAGGTGGGCAACACGGGAAGGAAATGAGATAAAGAGAGATTTACTGTTTCAGGGGACAAGTCTCCTACGGCCGGACTGCGATTCTGCAATTCCCAATATAAAAATATGAAGTTCCACACTATAGAGGGTAGCTGCAGATGGTTCATTCAAATTATAATTAAGGAGCATACCTGCAACTGGAGTTCATCAAACAGCGTGCTGAACGTGTAAGGCTGCACCTCTAGTTTGCTAACCATACCAAGAAGCTGCCGCACTTGGAAACGTTGCTTAACCTTATCGGCAGTCTTATTGTCGAAGAGCACCTTTCGACCACCACAGAGTGTGAGAATTTTCTGTAGTTCAGCAGAATCCCGTCCGAGATAGTCATCCAAACTTCGACCCTCTTTCTCCAACAGATCTCCTCCCGTGAACACCACAATTACATACTCCATTATCTTCGGTGTAAACAACCTCGCTAGCATATCAACTATGCCTGTCTCCTCCAATCTGTTTCGCACGGACATAACCAGAAGAACCGCATGTACACCACGTTTGACCTGAAAGCAGGCCGTTCCAATCTCTTTTAGCGCATCATCCTCTCCAGAAACAACACCAGGGGTGTCAATTATCTGGCATCGAAGGGTATCTGACAGATATGCTTCCTTGATTTCGCAACATGTGGTGACCGACCCGTACTGATTCTTGTAGGCGAAAGACTCTTGACCGAGAATTCTGTTACCGAGAGAGCTCTTGCCGCTCCCAGATTCCCCAACGAGCAGGAGTGTCCGATCCACAATTGGATCAACCCAATCATCGGTGTCCTCCATTCTATCCAGGGGCAGGAAGCAAGTCAATTAACCGCAGAAAGATAACCCTAAATCAAGAAGAACAGAGAAAGAAATCTATATAGGAAATCAAATCAAGCAATCCATTCTGATTCAGGGGCATGAATTACCAGCAGAAACGTAAACCTAACTGGAAAACAACGAAGAAAGAAACCTAAATAGGAAACCCGTTGGACGATTCGTCAGGGTTGAGGAGATCGGCGGGAAGGATGATCAAGAACTCACCATACGATTCCTCAGGGTTGAGGAGATCGGCAGGAAGGATGATCAAGAACTCACCATCTCCATTATCCTACTGAATTGAATACAAACGAAATAGGAAACTAAAGCATTCGACGGGGAAATTTTTGCAGGAACCAGGAATACCAAAACTCATGGAAGAATTTCTCTAAGGTTTAGAACTAAACTAAGAGAGAATCGACGGGAAGAAACGGTACAGAAGCATAAGTTTCGTTGCTCACCTGGTATGGTTCAGGAGAGCAAGAATTCTGAGGGAGATAGATTCGAGGAGGTCGAGCAGGCGAGCAGCGAGCAAGAATTCTGAGGCAGATAGATTTGGGGAGGTCCAGCAGCGAGCTTGAGTGGGACTGTGGGAGAGCTTGAGCGGGAAATCGGAGCGGACTCCTTTGAGGGAGAAGAGTATTTATGGTTTGTTTCTGACACTTGGATCTACCTGAATGGTCAAATCTAGCAGTTTGTTTGTGAACTTGGGCCGGTTCCCATTTGGTCCATCCCTCTGTCTCGTTTATAAAGTGGAATTAGCTAGAGCAAAAATATCTGAAATCATGGATACATGTACAAATTCAATATAATCGGGTAGGTTAAAAATCGAATATAGAACATTTTTATTGGATACGATAACCCAAAATTGAATATTGCAGGTAATGGGTCGGCATGGTAATTACTTTTTACACTATCCAACCCGAACTAACCGATTATGCACATTCATATGTAATTTGTCTAGAAATGATTATTATTTTTCTTAACATTTATTTATATTTATCATACAAATATAATGTTTTCATAAAATCTTGTTGTTTTAATTAATTTTATTCATTCTCGTGATTTATTGTTGTACTTTTTCACTTATGTAATGTGAGTATACATGTGAATGTTAACATGTTGGTTGGAGTTATAAAGAGAATTATTGTCCATGAATAACCGTGGATACCCAAAATCCACATGGTATGGGTATGCTTTTGATTTCTACTCGATTCTTATGTGGGTATAGGTATTGGTAAAACAAGAACTACTTTGGGTAGGGTACAAATATGCATTATCCGCCCCCGACCCGACCCATTGTTATCCCTAAGTGGAATGGTTCTAACTTCTACCGGTGATACAATTGGTTTGTGTCGATTCATGCCAGTTTAACAAAAATATGTAGAAATGTGAAACCCACTAACATCAAATAAATTTAATCATATATAAATCATATGTGAAAACAATTTACTTACCGTTCATATTCATATTTAAATAAAAAGGACATTGCAAATAGAATTACCAATAGTTATGTTTAAATACAACATTTGACTTTAATACTTAAATATTTATACTTGAATCCAACAAATAAAAACTCATAAAATAAACGATTTAATTTTTTAATAAATAAATTCACTAAAACGACATCATTTTACGTAGAGGCCATAAATCGATCATGTCAATCATACCGATTAAGGGTGGCTATACGGTTCTTTGCGGTTAAATTAGCCCGAATTGATCCGGTCCCGATCCGATCTTTTGGGGAATAGAAGGACCAAAGATTAAATTGGATACAGTCTGGTTTTGATCCGGTCCAATCTTGACCCGGTCTAGTCCCAATTTGGTCTTAATTTTAGATTCAACTTGTGGGGATTTGAGTGGCCTAATGCATAGTTAATTCTTTATGCTTGGGTTAAAGTCTCTGATGTTCTTGCATATTGATGTGGCTAGGAGTCTCACGTGCTATTGTTGACCTTGTAAGTTCACTTTTGGGGACAAGCAAAGTTCAAGTGTGGGATATTTCTGACGACACTCAATTTATAGGGTTTATCACTCATTTATTTTATTCATTTTCCCCTTGTATTAATGCATCTTCAGTATATTCTCATATGTTTATACATAAATTCTATTTATTTGATCTATGAGCATTTAATAGACCTAGGTTGTGTTATTTTATTCTTTTTATGCATTTTTGCATGTTTTTATGCTTTTTAAGGTAAAAATACAATCTAGAAGGATTTAGATCAAGCATTGGACAAATCTAGATGACTAAAGGAGCAAAAGAGAGAATAATAAGGAGTTTTCATGTAAAAGACGAGGTCCAATGATGGAGAAGCCTACTGTAAGTCACAAATAGAGAGCCCATGAGGAGCCCAATGGAGGAAGACTCAAACCCAAGACGAAGCAAGAATCAGTGGCAGCCCAGTGTTGGGTCCAACCACTACTCAGCAAACCTGGGTAAATCACGGAAAAATCTTCACGAGAGGTTTCTTATGGGCCAAGGAACTCAAGCCACGAAGAAAACTAGTGGTCATCCCAGCCACCACCCATAGGTCCAAGCTCAAATAAAGATCCCAAAGGCCTTGCTTTCGTATTAAGTCCGAGAAACCATGTCCTAGTAGGGTGAAAAAGATTTTGGCTGAGTTTTACCTCTATAAACAGGGAGCTAGTCTCATTAGTTCAGCATTATGCACAAATCCATTAAAAAAATTTGTAAATACTTTGTTGGTGTGCGAGCTTAGCATTAGTAGGCGAGGATGGAAATAGAGATGCCTTCATCACGGATGGTAGTACCCTCATTCCCTTATATGTATAGCTAGTTCGAAATTGATTTTTTAGGAATGTGAACTCATTTATCTATAAACCCTAAGATGATGCATTCGTTTTTTTGCCTATATTTGGACGAATCATAACCGTCAGTTATTGTTTCTAATTAAATTGATCTTGGGGTATAAGATTTAGAGAAAGAAGAACTAGATTTTGATCTTCAAGGGTTAAGAGTACAGTATCATGTCCGAAAGATCAGTCAATTCAAGGTCTGGATAGCGTTTTCATACTCAAGGTATGGTACCCCGGCTTTCACCCTGGGTACCGTAAAACTCGCCATATATCTATATCGATGCTATGATTTCATGATCATGCTTGTGTTTATGCTTCTAAATTTGGAAGCCTATCATGTATGTATGGATGCTTGTGATGATCATTGATTCTCATGATTCTATAGTATACTACTATATGCATTGTGCTTAGTATCTTCTGGCTGTTCAGCAATTACCCTCTAGTGATACCCTATTGATGCTACACAAGTATGGAGCGAATTATCAACCATCTATACCATTGAGTAGTATTAAATATGAATGATTGATTGTTAGATCATCGATGCTATAGACCATTGATTGTGGCTCAAGAGGCCCACACTTAATCATGTGATTTCCTCACTTCTCTATTCTTCATTGATTAGGTGATGGCATGAAACGAAAGCACACATTAGCTAGTCAAGTTCCTATTTCATGTGGCAAAAGGTTAAGTAGGATGGCCTTAGTAGAAGGGATAGAGTAATGCTATAGAAATAAACAGAACATGAAAAGGTATGGACCATGACTGCGGGCGAGACCTCCGTCACAAAAACTCGCATAAATAAACAGAACATGAAAAAAATGAGATTATCCGAAAGACTTTGAAAGAGGCCTATGATAGAGAGATGCCCGGGAACGGATCTGGTCAGTAATCTTGAGGTCAATAACCACGCATAACTCAATCTCAATCCGCCACATCAACACTCCTTTCTTTCTCATGGAAAGCCTTTAATCTTTCCCCCTTTAATCTTTCCCCCTTTAATCTTTCACGAACGATTTCTCTCTCGTTTTAAGTAAGGTAAATCAGACTAATTATTCTCCTCAAAATAATATCTACTTTGATATACTTTTGGAACAAAAAATATTGAGGCATGTTTTACCAACACTATATCTTGGAAATTATATGAATTGTGAAGTCTTATGGACACACCATACTATATCTTGAAGACTAATAGGTATCTATGGATGGTCTGAATGCAAAACCAAGCATAAAAACATGGGGACTAATAAGCTGCAGGTTGCATAACTGAATTGACAAGCCATGAATGAATAGTGATGAAAGATTTCAACCAAATTACGGACTGTCTAGAGAAAAATGAAAACTAAAACCCTGATGAAAGAGAGGTGGAAGGCTTTAGAAGGGCTCTTGAGGATTGTAAACTCTAGGATCAGGGGTTCTATGGTGGTTGTTTCACATGAGAAAGAAATAGGGATGGGAACGTCATACACATAGGAAGGATTGGACATGGTGGTGAGTAACAAAATATGGATGGTGCAGAGAGTGTACCAATTACTTAAATGTGGTTATGATCACATTCGGATACTTATGTAGTTGGTGCCGATGGAGTAATCAGATCCAGATCGAATAATTTATTATGGGATTTGGGTCGATCCATATATGTATGTAACTTAAAAGGAAAATACGAACAATATTAATTTTGTTACCACAAAATTAAGAAACAAACTGTAATATGATAAATGTAGTTAAATATTCGAGAATTCGAGATTCTCACATATTTACAACTTTCCTGTGACTAAAATATGAGGTAACAAAGGTAAAATCTTAAGTAATTTGAGTAATATTATATGTAATTTTGGCAAAAACGCGCCACAAACAAGGTGAGTCAGGGCAAGTCAGGTCGGTGAGAGTACTCATGCCTGTCCTGCCTATGGTGCAAGTATTACCCGCTCCAAAACATGTTAAACAGATCGGGTAAAATGGGACACGCCTAAATTACCATCGCTACCTACAACCTAATGTATTAGAAAATTGCCGAGAAGTTTGAATCTCCAAAACCATGTTATAAAAGAGCATGTGTGATAAACGAGATAAGTCGTGTAACATCACAATTCTTATTTAGACAATACATTGTTCGATTTGGTTCTATCTGCAAGGTTTTGCTTTTGAATGCACGATCATAACTTATTCGAGAGGACACTCATGTCTACTTTGTTTCCTCCTAAACACGCTTAAGTACTGCACAGTTCTTAAAACAACTGATCCATTTCATTACACATATGACATGAGTGGTCATTTTATACAAAGGCTGAGTATCTAACAACTTTGGTTTTCCCCACAAACATTGTTATTTTGCATCATGCGTCCTCTTCTTACGTCATGATTATTATCACAAACTATTATCATCAAAGAAAGGACTCTGAACTAACTGAAAATATGCTCTGGCAATTGAGTTCCCTCTGTGACTGCGAGTGAGTGAGCGATGATCAGTCAGTCTCACAGGGACTCGACAAAAACTGGGTACTTGTTTTTGGGCATCCGTACGAGTGTGGGCTGAACTGAACCATCTTTCTCTAATGGCGTCCACCTGAAAACGAGTTTTCACAACAAAACGGAAAAAGCAGCTGCTCATTAGGGATTCTGGGGAATTTCAAGAGATCGATGGCATCATATTTCGGAGAAAATTCATTTTCTCATTTGGGCCTACTTGTATTTGGTGACCAGGTGATGGATGAAGATGCAGATTTCCAGTTTTGCCAAGTTGATTCCTGGGCACATCCTCGGCCCATTCCCGAAGCCCAGGTAACTGTATGGCCTTAAGGGTGCCTGCCCAAGAAAGAACAAAAAGCTTAAATTGGTTGGCTAGCATCCAATAACTTCTAGATGTTTCTGCGGGAAAATGCTATCTCACGTCAAATCTGGTGGGATCGAACTTTTCTGGGTCCGGAAAGACTTGAGGGTCATGATGAATCGAGACCACGTCCAAGTTGACTGACCATCCTTTTTTGATTTGATATCCTACACATAGAGAGACCAATTAAACAAGAATGAGAGATCGATCAATTGAGCAATCAATGGTGACATATCTGAAATTTGGCATACCATCGATTTCAAAGTCCTGAGCAGCCTTCCTAGAATACCAAGGCAATATCGTCGCTCTTCGAAGGGTCTCGCTGATCACCTGATTTCCCATTATCCGACTTTTAGTTACTAATCAAACAGTATCACATCAACGACATAATGACAAAATTTAATTGAATAAAATGGAATGTTAATGATGTAATTTGTTGGGATGTATTTAGTGTTCAAAATTTCCCCCAATTCAATTCCCAATGTGATGCATATTCATATGTAACAAATCCATCATAACTATATCATCAAATCTATAAAGCAAGCAATAGACTCTTCTCCAATAAATCCATCATAAATTCAAAAGATCATCATTTTAACGAACAAACGTTACTTTATTTGTGTATGGCATATTGTTAACTTCAGACCAGCTTAGAGTAGCTCCATCGCTTCTCTTCTCCAAGATCAACCTATGCTCCTCCTGAAAAATTTCAGAAATTCGAATCTCCAATAACCAAAAGATATTTTAAGGGATTGTCAAGTATATTGAGATATTGATATTTTATAATATCATTCCCCCTTTTTACCCTGAGCTTCTCTAGGACTTGAGGATTCTCAGCCAAAAATTTCATCGTCCAAGTCAAAGCTGCTGTGGTAGTGTCATGACCCGCAACCAGAAGAGTCAATATGTTATCTTTAAGTTGTTGATCCGTCAATTTGTTTTCTTGATCGTCTCCTTTCCCATCTCCAGATTTAGTATGTTTCATGATTAATGACTCTAGAAAATCTTGATGAGAGCTTTCTGCACTTCTTCGATTTGCAATCGTCGAGTCCAGCATTTCATACATACTGTCTCTTGCCTGATTTGAGGAGGAAAAGAAGATTTCATTTGACAAGATTGTAGACAAGAGCAAAGTAACTATGTACTCTAACATCACAAAAGGATTACATAATTGAATTACCACAACACATTATGTATTTAAACCTCTTAAATTTTAAAAATTTCACAATCATCTCTAACCGGCTATCAAATAAATGCGAATTAAACATAAAAATCAACATCAAAACATGTCTCACCATTTCTCAAACCGGCTAGGCTAGAAATGACAAGTCTGGAATTATTTAATATACCTTAATACCCTCATAGAACGCTGTTCCAGGTAGGTTGAATGGCAAGGAAGCAAAGCTGGAAGAAATGGTCTTGAAATTTGACCTGAACTTCTCTTGCTCTTCTCCCATTGGCTCCAAGCTCATTATCATGTTACCAATCACCTTCAACGTAAACTTCAAACGAAAAAGCAAAAGAAACCCACTTACGAACTTGCCTTGTAGTAAAAACAAAAGAACAAAGCCAAAAATTGGAGATGAGAAAGTTATGTTGTTTTGACGGGTAAATGACACATTTGGTCACTGAGATTATTAAATTGTGTCATGTTTAGTCACTAGAAAAAATTAATATCAATTTTGGTCACTCGAATTATCGAAACTGGTCAAATTTAGTCACTCTCCCGTCAGTTTCCGTCCAACTCCATTAATGTAGTTGGACGGAAACTTTTGGGAGAGTGACTAAATGTGACATGTTTTAGTAATACGAGTGACTAAATGTGATATTTTTCAATAATTCGAGTGACCGGAGTTGGACAGAGGCTACAGAAGAGTGACCAAATGTGACATGTGTCAGTAATTCGAGTGACCAAAATTATATTAAATTTTTCTAGTGACTAAATATGACACGATTTAATAATCCCAGTGACCAAATGTGTCATTTACCCGTTGTTTTGACTAACCGTGGAAGCTTCTTCAAGGACAAGGACTTTCTTCTTTGCAGGCCATTGCTCCAGAGTGTCGAGAGCCAGAGTGCTGATGAAGTTGAAGTACTTCTTGAGGCCGTCGACGGACAAGGGCTCGGCGATGAGGCGGCGGAGGCGCTTGTGGGCGTCGCCGGTGGTCTGGAGCAAGCTGGTGGGGCCCAGGACTTGTTGGCCGGTGTAGAAGAGGTTCAAGCTCACCATCCCGTCTTTCCCCGTCAGCAGAATCTTGCTGGCTTCCCTCCCTGTCATGAACACCGTGAATCTCCCCAGCACGTAGCTCTTGAACACTTTCCCGTACCTGTGAAAGAGGTACGAGACGCCGGATTTTTACATCATTCGAGTTTCGAATGAATGGTTAACAAATTAATTCGAAATATGTACAAGTGTGCATAAAGAGAATAAATGGGTCAGATTATATCGACGTATGAACAATGGCTATCAGCGTGGATTAGAGATCGGTCACTACGCATCAGGTCAATTTGAATGATACATCATTTCAAGATTGCGGACTTATAAACCTATCAACAGAAAAACACTAGACATTTTCCCAGACGAATTGGCTTTGTTGTTCAATTTTAATTGTACAAATCATTCTTAGGGCACACCAAATAACTAGTTTTGAGTCATATCATGTATCAAATTAATACGTATCAGACTAATATGACTCACTATTCACGTTTGACTGGACGAGTAAGGAAAAGATTGCTACCTTTTATAAGCACGTCAATACTTTAAACATATCTTAAGACGATACAAACATTGTACTAAATGATTTTTCCCCCCTAGTAAAACATAGATGAGTCGAATAGCCTGAATCATACAAGTACTCTTTAACTGAGCAAATTTGACAATATTTATTAGCATTACCTCTCTTGCCTCTCCTTCATGAAGTTAAAAATGCCAGATGGGCTGCTGAAGGCAGAGATGAAGGAGAAGCTTTCACCGACAACAGGCAATCCCAAGCTCCCTGGGATGGCCTCCATCTCCTTCGGGGAAGAGCTGAGCAGCTTTCTAAGGAAGAAAACAGAGAGAACAGAGGAGGCTACGAGGACTAACAGCATCATGGTCTCCATTATTGGGTTCCTGGAATCTGGATCAATGAATCTTTGGAACCAAACGCAAAGTTACGCTGCATTTTGTATACTTACTTCTTTCTCTATTTATATAAATATACAAACCAGCCCTATCTCAATCGGGAGCTCATTGGATTCACCAATACTTTGTCTTTGCATGCATTCCTCTTTTCTTGTTGTTGCTCCGAGGAAAGCTCCAAGGGAATCAACCAATCTATGTGATGAAAGTAACAAGATGAACGTCAGCTTTCTACCAAAACCAAAGAGAACACAACAACTTCAACAAGGCTTCTTCCTTGTCTATCTGAGCATCTTCAACGGTTTTCTCTTTACCATTTTTGTCGTGTTGGAGCTTATCTTCATAGCTTGATTGAGATAGGACATACGACTAGTATAGAGAAGAAGAGAGAAAAAAAATGGAGGAAATGTCTTACTTCTTCGATCATTGCGAAGAGAAAGAATAATTATATGTAGTGACGGGGTCAGAAATTCGAACAAAGGGGTTGATTTGAATTGTCGTAAGTGGAGAAGGGGGTTAAAACCTTACCTACTATTCTAATTGCTAAATGTGTGTAAAATTTACATGTAATTTTACCTATACTTCAAAATTGATGGAGGCTAGAATCCCCTCTAGTTTCAACCTAGCTCCACCACACTAATTAGTACTTATATGTGCTATGAAATTAAGCTTGAAGAATGGGTGTTGGTGTGCAAGACATTCCAATTCTAGGACTGACTATAGACTTCATTGAATGAAGAATCCTGAAAATATATGTATTTAAGATAGTTGGATTTGGGTACATTTTAGTAAAATACATGTATTTTCAATATTAGTATACATTACACCTCCTTTATTTGTGAGGCAAGGATGCAGAAAGGAACCCGACTGTGTCTGCTGCCGGCCGGCCAAGGGGGAATGATTGAAAAACAGGGTCCAAAATCAAGGCGGACAGTCCGTCAAACACATATTCTGGAATCCCCGGTATTTTATTTTATGGGAGATTAACTAGACACAAAATTTGTCATTTACAAAAGAGTATGGTGGATTGGATCTTTACCGGAAATGAACCTCCAAACAGGCCGCTCTACATTTATATTATATACGGTCATCCATAGTAACTACAATCCGGCACCGGTTACTATGTGGAGGGCAAACATGCCATTAATAAAAAAGAGAGTTGATTCAAGTCAACCATATACTAACAATTCAATTAAAAGGGAGAGGAAATGACAAAATTAGGTTAGCTCCAATATACTAATAGACTCGATCAAAGTAATAAGACATAAAATTAGGGCAAAATACACTTGTATAGCCAAAACTTTCGAGGTTTTGCCAATAATAGCCAATTTGGAAGAAATACCACTAATAGTCACTTCCATCCAATTCTTTAACGGTGTCAACTAATAGGCTGACTGGACAAACGGAAATGCTGACCTGGCAATATTTGTTTGGACACATGGATTAACAAAACAAATATACATAACATAAATGCAAATTTTTATGATTTAATCAGAATGAAAAAAAAAAATAATAAATGCACTATTTCGTGCCCCCACTTCCCAGCAACCCAACCCTAACCCTAAATTGAAGATGTCTTCTGGCTCTTTCCCCACCGCCATCAACATAATCTTCATCCCTTCCTTTCCTCCCGTCTACTTTTCAATGCTTTCTCTTCTTCAACACTTGCTCCAGGTTCCTCCTTTCTTCGATGGCCTGGACGGCGATGGAAACTCGGCATTGAGGCAACAGGAGCTGGCGGCGACTAGATGCAGAGGTGATACAACAGCGACGACGGGATGAGGGCGCTCGGGGAGGTTGGGGTCGTCGACTTTCACTGCTCATCGATTCCAGCGACTTACCGGCTTCCACTTCCAGATCGGGGGTGCCGAGTCCAGGAACTCAGCGATTGACTCGCTCCTCCATCTTCTCGGGGAGGACGACAAGGATGATGTGCGATTCGAAGGGGGAAGGATATGGACGGCGGAGGAGAGGGACTGTGGAGGTGGGACTCTCGAGCGCCAGGCGACAGAGAAGGAGAATCGATCCCCTCTTCTGCTTTCGACGCCGCCATAGGGGTCGACGGATCTGGTTTCACTGGCGGATGCGGGAGAAGAGGTCGTCGGTGTGTTTGATGAGATTGATTTTGCTTTGATTTATGATGTTCTTACGGTTGATGGCTAGAGATTGATATTGTATTCTTGTTTTGATTTGGGAAGTTATGGAGGTGGTAGAGCTTGATTATTTTGGGAAGAACAGATCCGCGTAGAGAGACGAAAAGGAAAGGGAAGATCACATGGGGATGAGGAGAAAGTAATAATTATTTTATTTTTATAATTGAAATTAATTTTTTTATGAAAACTCTTAAAATATTAATTAAAGATGACACATGTTAACTACATGTCATCAACTGCTGAGTTGTCGCTGACGTGGGTGCTGAGTTGTCATCTTAGTCAGCATTCCGTTTAGATAACTTACGGTGACATTAACACCGTCAAAGTTTGTAACGGGATTGACTAGATTTGTCATAAGAACATTGAAATTGTGGCTATTTTTGGTATTTCTCCAAAAGTGGTTATTATTGTCACAAAGGTGAAAGTTTTAGCTATACATATGTATTTTGCCTAAAATTAGACACCCCTTATCTATCAATTCCAGTATCGTGAATAGAGAATCTATCTTAACTTTAGTAAATCAATCAATGATTCCTTGTTTAAGATAAACATAGGTTGTGGTAGCTGCAACAATCATAAACCGGGATGAGATAGCATGCCTACCCATAAAAGGGTTGGAAAAATGACACCCCCTATTAATTATAGGTTTTTAAGGTAATTAATTTGTGTTGCATTTAATAATCTGTATGAATTAAAAACACATATTAATTACTTTCCTTTTTTCAGTGCACTGGTAGTTGTATCAGTGCACTGGTAGTTGTGTACAGGTGCAATGGTAGATGTATCAGTGCAATGGTAGTTCCAAAAAAGGAACGTAATTAATACGAGTTCAGTATACAGGTGCAATGGTAGTTGTATCAGTACAATGGTAGTTAAAAAAAAGGAATGTAATTAATATGAGTTTTTAATTTCCAAATATTATTAAATGCAACACGAATTTAATACAAAAAATAACTATAATTAATAGGGGTGTCATTTTTCCAACCCCTTAGAAGGGTTAGCATGCTAACCGACCCCATAAACCTAAAGATCCAATAGCCACTACTCTTTGTTGTACAACCAACTTTTTTCCCTTTTATCTTCAATCTCAAGAGGCATCTATTTCAACCCAATATTCAGTTTCTAATCATCCTCCGACAACTATATTATTGCTACTTTGATGAACTTTCTCATCGTGGCCCTCAATCTCTTCCAATTGCGGTTCTTGTCAACTCGTTCTTCAACTTCTCAATCATATTCTTTTATTTGGTCAACTTATCTTCCTCAAGGGAAGTTGTAATAAGCTCGATAAAACCAACCCATTTCTCCAATTCCATCAATATGCTCATCTCCTCCTTAAGTGCCTTCGTCCGCTCTAGTCCACTTCCATGCCCTTCAATACCCTCTCCATTTTCATTAATATCCTCATCATTTCTCACTTCTCTCTTCAACTACTCCATTTTTGCTTCCATGTCTTTCACTACTCTCTTCAATTCGATGACTACCCTCACCAACTCCCTCTTCTCTGTGTTCACCTGTTGTAGGTGAACTTTACTTGCTACCAAATCCAAACACAACAAACAAGAGCTTGACATAGTGGTAATACCACTAGCCTAGAACCTGGAGGTCCCAGGTTCGAATCCATTAAGTAGTACCTTAATCACAAAAGATAAAAACATGTATCACGCTTATCAACAACAAAATAATCCAAGCACAATTTCTTCTCCCGCCACTTCCCTTCCCAAACCTAATCGCAATTATTCTACTCCAATTCCAACAGCCCCGACTCCCAAATTACTATTGTGTGGAGGCTTAATTTAAGCAATCATTATGGTTTGCAAATTACTGTTATGTGTTGGACCATAAGAATCAAGATTGATGAAGAAAAATATGGTTGCAGAGAAAATTAGCTATGACAAAATCAAACCTTAACGGAAATATTGTAATTGAAAAGAATCCAAAAAAATAAAAATAGATCTTCTGCATGTTCTGCTTATGAGACAACCTGGAAATGAAAGTTTTTTTTTGTCATTAATCAGAAAGATAATATCATGAGATAAAGAGATGAAATGAATGACTTACAATGTAAAGTGATAAAACTTGGACGAAGACTGAAAACTCATTCAAATTCAAAGTCTAGTATATGAAGAGGAGTAAAGGAGGAAGATATAATTGATCAAACATCGTTTTCAGCAATGGAAGCAACAAAATAGTTCTTTTAGTAGTTCATCGAGGAGATATAGAACCATTGGGCGATGCTAGTGCGAAGGACCGAGCGAGATAAGGCAGACCCTAAATACTTGATTGAACTCCATTCTATTCTCCATAGACTTTATATCGGCGTTAAATCTTCCACTTGCCCAGCTTCAATCGCCAAAAATCAATTCGTATTGCTAAGAGATACCAGAAGATTGATTTTCATAAGCGGCCTTGTATTGGGACGTTAAAGAGAGCAAACTATTGCACGATGGAGTGAATTTTAGATGAACCTAGGAAGGGATAAGAACAAAGATAAAAAAGCGCACAAAAAAATTAATTTTAAAAAATTCAAGGACACAAAACATAGTAAAAACAAATATTTTTTCCATGTTAGTCTTTTTTTTTTTTTACAACGACATGTTAGTCAATTACCAAATTACCCTTAGCAAAAATTACGGAGAGAGCGGAATTTTAAAATGGAGAAAGTTACATGAAACTATACTATGAAAAATAGATGTATCAAGCACCATAAAATACTTACATGAGACTTAATGGGCTAGCTAATCATGATGGAAAAGTCGAATTTCAGAGTTAACTTTGTCTATGTTTTGTATAAAAAAACTACAATAAATTGTCTAGTGCAATTGATTATGTTTGTTGTCTATGTTTGAAAAGAAC